ATGCCAGACTCGAGGCCAAGGGATAATCTTACAGTGAACAGTATTTTCAACCTGGGAGCAGCGTCCCAGGGAGCAGGGTAAGGAGGCAGTAATAGGCAGCAGGAGAAAGCATTCTGTTGCAGATATTGAGCTTCTGTATAAAGGACAAATACCTTTCTTCCTACAGCACAGCCACTTCCCTCTCTCCCTGCCACGCTGCTGGGTGTTTGCCTGCCTGCACAGGCTTTGTCTGGCTGTTTGTATGCGAGAGGTTACACAAAATGGGGGTGTAACCTGGGGCTTCGCAGCTCTTCCTTACTTGTGCTTGTGCTTGATTTCACCGAAATACCTCCGTGGGGGATATAATATCTTCAACTGCTCAGACTTTGTAAACAAAGTGCTGGGTTACTCCTGTACTCGCATTGCTTCGCAGCTGTGTTCAGGGTATTAGTGCACAAATTGCTTATGAATGAACAAACGCCGCTATCTGTTTCACAGCACCTGTCTCTGCTCATCCCTTAGCACGGCCAGAGGAAACCTAGCCTCGCATCGGCATGAGGCAGCTCGGCAATATAAGGACTTCCAGGACGTGCTATTCTCATCCTTGCTTTCCATTGAATAAAAATCGCAGTTGTAATATTGCTTGTAATAGCTCCTGCAGGGCCCGGAGCTCCTGAGAAGTCAGACCAGGGAGCTGTTGGGGTTCTGGGGACGGGAGAACGTGGGCTCCACCAGCATCAGACCTCCCTGGCTGCAGTGCACAGGAGCATGGCCAAGTCCACAGTCATACCAGAATTTACCAAAATACAGCGTCCTGTCTGCTTTTGCTCTCAACCAGCCTCTTCCCTGAAATAATCGTGAGCCTCTTCTACAGCGCTGCACGCCCCTTCTTAGGATGGTGAGAGGGAAGGGGGCAGCGAGGGCAGCAGCTGCTTTTTTGATTACCTGTGGGCTCGCTCTGCTGCCTGCTCTGTTCAAATACATTTTTAGGCTCTGCAAGCACCGAAGCATCACCCTCGCCAGCCTTCAGCTGCGCTCCAGCGCCAACGGCTGCAGCCCCGACACCATCCTGATGGTGCTCAAGCTGCTCCCCAAAAGGCTGGTTCCCGGGGGGACGGTGAGGGATGACCACCCCGCTCGTCCCCCATCTTCCCCAGCCGG